GGAAAAAATCTGCATGCATTTGAGTCATGGCCGGCCTAGCATCAATCCACAAAGAGGAAGACATGCCTGTCTTGCTGCGACCGGGTGTAGTAAATTCACTGGTACAGTCAGCGCCGCGAAGACACTCTAGTAGGAATACGCCACTGACCTGGCCTAGCTTCACAATCAATTGCGTGCAGCGGGCAGGCTAACTTGAAACAGCTCTGCAGGATACTTGTACAAACGTCATTCAGTGTGTCTGCAATTACATCCTCGTAATGAGCGTGGTTGTCCCTAGAGAACATGGCAATGTTCCCACATCACATAAAAAAAACACGAAAATAAACTAACTGGACACACGGGCAACCACCCTTTTATTTAAAAATAACGTTAACCAGGGAACTTTCAATATAAAATCAACAAGCGAATGTTTATAAAATCAAACCACGATCTTCCACGTGTGACAATAATAACCATGTCACATGACTGGACAAACGGATTATTTGTGTTGACTGTGTTAACCCGGCTAACACCTCAAAACCCTAAAAATAAAAAGTGTTTTGTCCTACTTTCGTGGTTCAGTGATTCTCCGTACATTTGAAAACAGGAGAATCGATCGGATAAAATGCATCGTTAGCCAGTTCCAGCCAGCGAGACAATGTTACGCTCCCGACGACTAGCTGACCATCAACGCTTGACTGGCTGGAAGTTGCTAACGATGCATTTTATCGGTGGTTCGGTGTAAAAAGTACAATTGAACCACGACAATTAAAAGCGAAGACTTTCAATTTTTCGTTTTTCAAACCGTTAGCCAGGTTCACTCGGTTAATACAAATGTTCATCCCCTGCCAGACGGCAGCAGACAACGAGAAGTTGAGCATTAATTAATAACACGATCATAAAACGAATCCTATTACATGGATTATATTAATTGAAGAATCTATTCCAAGAAAGAGGCAGCTTGCTACCAGAAGTGTTTATTATTATTATTATTATTTTTATTTAGTGTTCTGTCTGACGACAGGTCCATATGAACAGGATCCTTCCATCCTTTTCTCGGACTGGGACCTGTTCATATACGTTCTTGGCAGATGATCCAGAAGTGGTTTGCCATTGCCTTCTTCTGTGTGTGAATGGAGTAATTGTTGGGATGCCACGGAGGAAAACTCCGTGTTGCCTAGACCACGGCCTTGCCCAACACAAGTTATAAATTCGGGCACCGCCGGGAATCGAACCCGGGACCCCAGGATTACAAGGCCAGCGTTCTAACCGCTAGATCACCGTGGCGTCTCAGAAGTGTTTATAAAATATAAATTTTTAATATTAAATTATTTATTTCAGTGGAAGTGTCTATATGTGTCACATGACATGTGCTCTTCATACATCGTCAACCGTAAGTGTGAGGGCACCCTTGTGCCTTCGGAAGGGTTCTGGGGTGACCGTCTCAATTTTAAAACATTCATAAGGAGTTCTATATGTTTAATTGTTTATTTATCATCTCATTCTTGCGATATTACCTCTTGACCTAAAACGTAAATCAGACGAGAAAACACAATCATAATCTATTTAATTAACTTTAAGCTCCTTCTAGTTCCCCGTCACCCAAAAACAAAAGGTAAACGACCCCGAGTCATTCCTTATTTGGCCCAAAGTGAACTTCGGTGATGTTTGGTCAGCATTCGTGTTCGAATTGGGAAGGTCTGAGATTCGACAATCTGAGTAAAGATATGGAAAAAACACAGAAAAATCAGCGGTCGTAGCCCAGCGAGTCGTCACCGAAAGCATTTCGATTTAACGTCCACATTCACTGCAGCTGACTATAAAGAATATTTTATAGCAAACTCAAGAATATTAGCTGCACGCCACTGAACATAACTAGGTCGATAGTCAGTTGCGTGCATCCGACAGGTCGGTTACAGGGAATGCAGTGATTAATGCTTCGCGTCCTTTCACCCGGAAATATTGCAGGCAGTCAATCAAATATCTTCTCTTCTTCTCTTCGGTTTTCAAACGTTTAACAAAGTTCGAAAAAAATACAGGATACTGAACCTAAAAGGAAGACACATTACATTTAATGACGGTAATATTTTTCTCCGATGCATACTTAATCTGCTTACGTGACGGTGTAGTAAACCCGGAAATTCATTTTAGAAATATTATTAGGGTGACGTGTTAAAACTAAAACCGATACAGCGATGAAAGTTATGGGCTGGGACTCGATTTGATTAAAGACGTGATTTATTTAAACGACCACTTCATCCTAACTTGCCTTCACATTAAGTTAGTGGTCTCGCACACACTGCATGTTAGACGCGAAACGACCCTGTAGCACCCGAACGCCACGTTAAAGCTTCATATTTCATAAAGAAACTGATTCTTGGTTATTTTACGATGCTGTTGTAACTTTATCGTCTATTTAGTTGGGAAGACGATTATAAGTGGTATATAGTTAAACAGCGTAAAGGTGGTTAGCAAGACATACTTAAAGACTGTGAATATGAATATTCTGAGGAAAACCACGAAAATCCTCAGTTAAGATAAACGGGTGTTGTATTATGGAAACAACTACAAGGGAAAGATGAAAAATTCATATGCATGCAATGTCGTGGCGACAAACCGCTTTGGAGACGCAGGGGTAAATGTTGAGATAATACAACACTGAAGATAAAGAGGGAAGTGTAAGAGTGTGGAATGGATTAAGGTGGCTAGTGTCTTGTGGTGGCTTTATGTTAAAATGGTAATGAAAGTTCTGGTTCCATTAAGAGCAGGAAATGTCTAAGAGCCTTTTCGTGCTTCAACAAAGTCCTTTCCACCCAGGATGGCAGACCTAATTCTCAGATTAGGCCACGATTACTCAATTCACTTTCCATGGAATTATTCAGTAACACTTATTCTGCCAGTTGATAACAGACAGCTTATTATGTTCAAAAGGAAAAGTACCCCAACCACCCTAGAACACACTGAGAAATGCCGAGTTAAATAATTTTCGGATTTAATTGAAGCGATGAAATGATTTAAAAACAATTATCAAATACTCGTATACGAACTCGTGATCGCATGTAAAAAAACTTGAAAATCGTGCGACTGTTTCGTAGTTCATAGGTTTTCCTATGTCTTTTAAATAAATAATTACACGTCCTTAAAATAGTCTTCTAATTTATGAACACTCTGTATTCAAATACCAGTTAGGCAATATGTGTACCATTACACAGTTCACGGCATCGAGATTAATTACAACGAATCATTCGTGCTTCATAGACTCAGCTGAACGCGCGACATAATGATACATAAACATCACTGACTTTTATTTAGTAATTAATTATGACCACTAAGTAAACTGGAAAGTATCGTCGATCGACTGGGGTTCGAAGCTCGCGGGTAGTAAAATGTGATGCTGACCGAAACCTCGTTGTTAAACGTCTACAAAAAGCATATACGAGGTCAAAGGTCATTAAAACATTGTTCAAATTACTACATTTATCCTCGTTATCGGAGGAGACACTCATTTCCTTGGAATGTAACTATATAACCACGCACCAGGCACGACTGACGACAATTTTGAAAAATCCAAGTCACTGGTGTAACAGCAACTGACGTTCTCAGACTTTAAAAGTATAAGTTTTGAAACTGCTTAGTTTAAGTATCTATTTACTTAGTGCCAGTTTTAAGGGCAGTGACGGTGTTTCAAAGCTTGAATAAAAATAAAGATCGATAATCACACGAGGTGCGATCGGAAAGTTTCCGTAGCCGTTTTGGCGAGTCTTTGGCAAAATTTGATGCACTCATGAAAATCCGCCATTCCGAAATCGCAGGAGGGTCGGTGTAATGCACTACCAAAACGCCCGTAACTAAGAAACAAATGCTAATTCGATGATGCCGGCTGGCACACTGATTCACTATGAATGTAGGCCGCACCCCCTAGCGGCAGAAGCTCGTACTACATCCGGTTCGCCCTCTATTGACACAGTCTTGAAACTTTCCGATCGCACCTCGTACAGTAATCACTTAACGTTTCAAACGTTCCGATAAGAAATTAATACACAATTTGAAAAGAAATATCTGAATCGAAGAGTAAAATTGGAAGGAGTGTGCGTAGTTCGGAGGATATTATTAAAATGGATTCATCGCGCTCAGTATATGGGCCGATGATTCGTTATTGTAAGCATGATAATGAACAGATGGGTTCGAAAGAAATCTGAGAATCTCTTGACTAGATGAGCAACTACTAGTTTCTCAACAAAGTTTCCGTTCCATAAAGTTAGAATAGTTAACTACGTTAGTATTCTGTAACTGAAAATATGCTACTCTGTCGGAACCCTCCTTTTCAAATATCTTGGTTTCCCGGCTGTGACTTTCGGATTTTTATTACAAATTATAAAACAAAATACCTTTCGGATAAATAACATTGTGCGCTGAAATTGATAAAACGTGCGAAATTAATACATGTGCACACATGCTTATATATATTTTTTTACAGCGAATATTGATAAACCGCTGAGTCTGCGCTAACCATGTACATTACATCGTAAATATTTAGACAGTTGACAATTGGAAACATGAATTTACAAATACTACCACAGTGCTCAGCGAAATATAATACACTTGTCAATACCAATAAGTATTCGGGTCGTCACATCATACCAATATAATGCATTGGTTTGCAGACAGCTGTACATTTATAAAGTTCAGGATTTGATTCATATGTTTGAAATATGGAGTTAGAACTGTATAGAACTGTCAAATTATAAGCCATGAAAATAACATCAAAATACGGATAATTTTGTTTACTGTTAAAAATGCTTGGTATATATATATATATATATATTGCATAATAACTAATACGCTGTTAAAAATCATCTGTGCATTAAAGTGTATTCTAATTTTAACACATCATTAATAAATCACCTAGGAATCTGAAATTTAATAATTAAATAAATCAACCAGAGTAAATAAGTCAATCATACAAAACTTTCTGTTATGATAATGATCCAATAGGCTGTAAAGTATTTTTTTTAACTCACCACTATCGAAGGAGACCTCACTGACCATAATCCACTTGGCTGCGAAGTAAAGTTGTAGCCTCACGTATCGTCCCACACGATTATGCAGTTTTATGGTGACGTTCCGTGCGTGTTCCATGATGACATCTGGCATGTAGGAGAAGAACACAGGCTCCCCGAAAAACTGATGACCGCCAATACTGAAGTGCACTTTGGCGTGTGAGAAGACCTGTACACGACACACGACACAAAACATTTGAGATGACCACTGCGTGTAGTTTCAGGACAGGAGATCGCGGTTACAATCCCGAATTAATTTCAACAATCTGTCAAAAACGTAAGACGGATGAAACAGAAACCTGAAGATTTCTGTCTTCTGGCTTGATATTTACCAACGTTTCGGAGGTCATACTGCCTCCGTCATCAGGGCGGCGAATCGCAGAAATATTCATACTCACCGCTGCGAAAACCTCAAATCTTACAAACAGAAACCTACCTTCAAAACATTTCTAAGGCCCCTGGCGAGGGTGAAAATATAAAATTTCATGTCATAATCGGAAACGAGAACCGGAAATATAAAGAATAATTGTGATTTCTGTAATTTATCTTATCACAAATTGAACACCACCGTCGGCCAAATACGTTCAGAAAGCTGTTAAATGCTCACAATAAGATGAAACCAGGAACAATAAAAACGAAACAAAAAGTGGAATAAGGAGAGATAGCAGCAAAGAAGAAGGGAGAAGAAAAATTTGTTACGTTGTCTATCTGGAGTACGAGGTGCGATCGGAAAGTTTCTAGACTGCGCCTATAAAAACCCGTACACTTATCTCAGGTATTAAATTCATCCATCACCCTCGAAGTAGTTCCCATCGGAGTGAACACAACGATCCCAGCGCCGCTGCCAAGCCTGGAAGCATCCCTGGAAATCTTTCTTTGTCAGCCTGTCAAGCACCATCTGCGATTCTGCCTGAATCTCTTCTATCGTCTCAAATCTCCTTCCCTTTAGCTGAATTTTCATCTTTGGGAAGAGGAAGAAGTCACACGGAGCTAAATCCGACGAATAAGGAGGGTGCGGGATGACGGCCATAGTGTTTGAGGCCAAAAACTACCGAACTTTGAGGGCGGTGTGCGCTGGCGCGTTGTCATGATGCGTCGCATGGGGAGTTCTTCGTTTAGAATCAGCTGACAGGTCCCATAGCCTATCCCAACAAGGTCGCACAAGTCGTTGATGGTACGACGTCGATCTTCGTGAATGGCCTGCCGAATCTTCGTAACATTTTCGGGCGTCGTGCTCGAAGATGGTCGTCCAGAACGCTCGTCATCATCGACAGAGGTTCGGCCATTTTTAAAACGTGAATGCCACACAAAAGTTTGTGCACGACCCATTGCGGACTCCCCAAATGCTTGCTTTAGCATTTCATAGGTTTCCGTAGCCGTTTTGGCGAGTCTTTGGCAAAATTTGATGCACACGCCATTCCGAAATCGCAGGAGGGTCGGTGTAATGCACTACCAAAACGCCCGTAACTAAGAAACAAATGCTAATTCGATGATGCCGGCTGGCACACTGATTCATTATGAATGTAGGCCGCACCCCCTAGCGGCAGAAGCTCGTACTACATCAGGTTCGCCCTCTATTGACACAGTCTTGAAACTTTCCGATCGCACCTCGTATCAGAATGGATGGTGGAATGACTCATCTCTGCCGTGGAGTTGTGTTCTGATTATAAAATTCAGTAGAATCAAATAAAACAAGGATTCCGTTGTACAGAACAGTGACTTAAACTCCTTTTAGAACCAACCTGTAACAGTGCAGAGAAAGACATAAAGTTTATTGCCGAACTCCGGCATGGGGAACCACTTCAAAAATATTATCCATAACTGTCATTTTATTTCATACTAATCTTTTTCTCTCGATGTTTTATTCTCCCGCAACATGTGCAGTTTATCTTAGCGACTTTCTGGTGGCTCTGTAAAGCTCACGATACCAATCAATTTCGCTCTCAGTCTCTCTCGTTCACTTATATCACGTTGCGTGTTCTGCCAACATAACAAGTTCACTTCTATATTACTGTGTATGAGTAACAGGATGGCCTAGCATCACGCACCGCGTGGCGATATTGTTTTGTCTATTTTGGCTTTCAGTTCCCCTCCCCCCCTTGTTTGCCAACTTCTCTAGTAACTTAAATATTGGTGCTGCCGTATAAACGTCATAGCACGGTTCGCTCATTGTTCATTCTGTTGTATCACGCTAAAATGTACAATAGGTATACCAAGGTTCAACAATCTCCTTTCATTGTTAATTCTCTCGTTCCTAGGCACTACAATCAAAGCATATTTCAAGCGAAGGCAAATTATATTCTAGTGTTTATTTTATTTTTATTTGCTTTATCGTAGTTTAGTTTTGATTAATCACTTTCGGACTTTCGTGCAATGTGCTCATACCTTATACTAAAGTTTCCTCTTAAAGCGAGGTTTATAACTTTCACTCACTTCTCGACAGAATGTAAATGAATTTTGACGTCTATGATCGTCTCACTTCGTTTATATCGTGACTTATATGCATAACACAGAAATGTATGTATTGGAAACTCAGACAACCAACAAAAGATAAAAATGTCTTGGGAGAAAAAATCAGTAGTGGTAATACTTGTAATAATTGTTTAGAATTTAGTGCGAAGAAGCGAATATTTGTCCCGCAAACACATCTCACCATACAAAACGTTCCCAAGTGTAATTTATATTTATGAAGTTTCCGGTTGGAATCAAATATTTAGCCGAATGTCGATCTGCCTACTTAGATTCCGGAGGTGCTGAGTTCGAAGTTCATCCTTCATCATTCTCATGCTAAAAATAAATTTTGTATCGTAATAAAATAAAAACACAAATTCCGCTTCGTGACATCCACAAGACGTCATTGGAAAAATACATACCACTTTATACTACGAAAGTGATATTAGATAAAAATATTTTGGCCTTGAAATTCTTAAAAATACAAGAAACGTACAAACCGATTTAAATACGGTGGGCCTATGATGTAGAATACGAAACGAAGCCAAATTAAAGACTGCTGATAATTGCATAAGGTGGGCCTATGATGTAGAATATGAAACTAAGCCAAATTAAAGACTGCTGATAATTGAAAGATGGTTGTTAGGTTGAAGTTTTACTTCGATACGTCTTTGCACCTACAAATAATGAACAGAATATTTAATTCCGCCAAATAATTACACATATTCCTTTACAATTACATACATATATTTTTTATGTAAACTCATTTAACCTACAAATTGGGAGATAATTCTTAGTAAACAGTATAAACAGATGTAACCCCCCCCCCCCCGGATTTGATGTTCTTTCGCAGACTTCGCTTTGCGAACGCGTATATAAACAGTTGCTGTTTGTGTCAGTAAAAGCGTAATAAATTTTACACAACACCGTGGCCCTCAAAGGGCGCATTCTCCCTTGGACCCCCACTCATAGCCCAGTATCACGCCAGATATCGCATACTTACACACTCATATGATGCATAGTCTATGTCCATTCTGTGCATGATATGAATTAACATAACGACGTACGACCACTTCGCCCACCACATACAAATAGTGCAGTGCATAATAATAACATGTTTGGTTTGTTTTTATTAACTTTAAAGGCCTTGTTCCACTAAAATGTGTTACTGGATGTTCATTTGGAGAACCGCCATGAATGGGGGGCCATGTGTTATTCACACAACATTTTATATTTGGACACTAGAGTCTCGTAACAAAACAAATATAAAGCATTTATTCTAATTTTTACTGTGCGTGTAGGATCTGGTGTAATTTTTTAGCAGAATTTGCGGTACAACGTACGTGGTTCAGTGAATTACTTCATAATAACAATTTCTACCTGAACAAATCATATTGTGTACTCCATACACCGACGTTAAACTATCTTAATTACGTTGCAATGGAGTACGTCGATTATGCTCTTCTGGATGTGTGGACTTGTACGTACGAGGTGCGATCGGAAGGTTTCAAGACTGCGGGTATAAAAACCCGTACACTTATCTCAGGTATTAAATTCATCCATCACCTTCGAAGTAGTTCCCCTGGGAGTGAACACAACGATCCCAGCGCCGCTGCCAAGCCTGGAAGCATCCCTGGAAATCTTTCTTTGTCAGCCTGTCAAGCACCATCTGCGATTCTGCCTGAATCTCTTGCCAAAGACTCGCCAAAACGGCTATGGAAACCTATGAAATGCTAAAGCAAGCATTTGGGGAGTCCGCAATGGGTCGTGCACAAACTTTTGTGTGGCATTCACGTTTTAAAAATGGCCGAACCTCTGTCGATGATGACGAGAGTTCTGGACGACCATCTTCGAGCACAACGCCCGAAAATGTTACGAAGATACGGCAGGCCATTCACGACGATCGACGTCGTACCATCAACGACTTGTGCGACATTGTTGGGACCTGTCAGCTGATTCTAAAGGAAGAACTCCACATGCGACGCATCATGACAACGCACCAGCGCACACCGCCCTCAAAGTTCGGCAGTTTTTGGCCTCAAACACAATGGCCGTCATCCCGCCCCCTCCTTATTCGCCGTGTGACTTCTTCCTCTTCCCAAAGATGAAAATTCAGCTAAAGGGAAGGAGATTTGAGACGATAGAAGAGATTCAGGCAGAATCGCAGATGGTGCTTGACAGGCTGACAAAGAAAGATAAAGTTTTGGAGAAACATACGACCTCCAGCTCCAGGACTGAAGAAACGGTGATATCTACTTACAAGGCCCCGTGACGTTACTGCCCAGAAGACCAACGTCATCATCACCGCTAACATCAAGTTTCAATCTTACTACAACTGGGGCTTCAGTACAGCAATGGTGTTCGTAGGAGTACGAAGTAGACAATTAAACAAGAGCATTGATTTAGAAGGACTAATCCATATTTGAAGACTTGATAGCACAAACATGGCATGAAGATGGCTGTCTTCTAAAACGTTGCGCTGTCTCACAGAACTTTACCGAAATTTCTGAAGTTCTTACACTGTCATCGCCCTGATGACGCACCTCTGAAACGTCGGGTCAACTTCTACCAGACTACCCGACGCAAC